CACCTTTCGATGGCGAGCTCTGAAAGCTCTCTTCTTTTACTAACGACTCGGTTGACGCACGCCAAAGGCAAAAAGAGTGTTCGCTCAGCAGCATCTTGGGCAAGTGTCTTGGCGGGAATTAGGGTTTAGGGTTTAGGAGGGCCTGTGGAAAAGGGTTTAGGAGGGACCGGATGTTTGAGCGTTTCCGTGTGGTTTTTGGGGTTTCAGGAATTTAGTCGGGCTCGTGAATAGGATTTTGCGGCTTCAGGGTGAATGCTTCAGGAAATTTAGGCAGGCATTTGGGGCTCTGGGGTTGATGGGTTTGGGGTTTCGGTGTCATGTTTCAACAGCAAAGTTTCAACTAAAAACTCAAGAGTACGTTTGGCTCTATAGCAGGAGGGCAACTGTAGGTCGTTTGAAAGATCGGCTTTGTCACTGGAGGGTGAGTTGCGGGGGAGATGTCCGATTTTTTTTTGTGGGGGGGGGGAGTTGAGGGTTGAAGCATGTCTTGCCTTCAGAGACTTCAGAGAGGTTTGTGTTTCAGGGGGCTTAGGGGATTCTGGGCTTGGACGATGTTGGAGTTCAGTGAGCTACGGCGAAGCCTCGGCCCTGAACTTCGCGAGAGTGCTCCGAGCCCCAAGCACTAGACTCGAATGCCGACCCCAAAACCCTAAAGCCCTAAACCCTTAAAGCCCTAAAGCCCCTAAACCCCTAAAGCCCTAAAGCCCTAAAGCCCCTAAAACCCCTGATTAATGGCTCCGGTTGGTGGATCAGGAGTTCAAGGTGCAGGGTGGGCAGGGCAAACTCCCAGGCCACCCTGAAGTCTACAGCCCTCCGCACCAAGGGTCCTGGTTTTGTGACCGGTGTAATGATGAGAGGGAACGTAAGGCCAAGCATTATTAAGACTAGAACACCACAGTTGTCTCTGATAGGAATACCTTGTACCCCGTAGCAGCAAGAGCTGCATGCTACCGAATCCCATACGCTTGTAACTAAAGCTAGATTGTTGGGGTGCCTTGTCCAGGTGGTGCAACCTGGAACAGGAGGCCTTCAGCTTCAAATCCTTCGAACCGGAGCGTCCTGAAACAGGTCCAGGGTGTACGTTCAGGGGCCGAAACCTTTCAAAAGCCTTCTAGAGCCCTCCGAAGCAGCATGGCGATAAAACCCAAACCAACAACACCCAACACCGCAAAAGCCTGAAGCCCCATGTAGACTTTCTATATTGGAAAACTTCAATAAAACCCTAAGAGTATTTTGAAGCTCCGAGCCTCCCACGTTTGGAGGACCGGCCAGGTGAAATTGGCCGATCTGGGCTTTGAAGGCCCAGGGCTTCTTGGGCGCAGCCGGCCCCGGCCGGGGGGGGGATTTTTTCGGCTTAAGATTCGCCCTTTTTAGGGCTTTCGGGACTTTAGGGGTGTAAAGGCCTCAGAGGGTTTCTTCAGGGGGTCTGCAGTTCCAGGGCTTCTAGGGTTTAAGGCTGTCCTGCCGGTGAAAGAGGATGTGCTACTGTACCCTCCTAGGCCCGTAACCCGGAAACACCCAAAAAACCGTCGGTCCTTGAAGCGAACCTCGCCCAGGCTTGTCCGAGTATGAATTCTGCAACCCCTTGAAGCCCTGTAAATCCTTTCTGTCATCATCGGGGCCTACGAAAGTTTCAAAATGACCAGCAGATTCTTGCAACAGCCCCGCAAAAAGCAAGAGAAGACACGGTGCCTAGTAAGTGGTTCATTCCTGGGAACCCCCCCCCCAAAAAAAAAAAGATTCTCCAATGAGAAACGATGGCAGAGAGTCTAGGTCCCCCAGTAGTACCCTTTTGCCCTTTTTGGTTTTGGGGGTCCCTTATTAAACCCAAAGAGTAGGAAAAAGGATGCCCTTATTGTTAGGGATCTACCGGGGTACCTAGGAGTCTCGGTGTTTGTTTTTGAGAGCCGTCAGGGGAGCTGCTACAGCCGGCCGTCTCCACCCTGCCTCTCCCCTGGAAAAAGGGGATCTTTGTAGGCATCTTTGAGGCTGTTTTTTTCAGGGGGTTGTCATTGTTTTTTGAAGGGCGGTTTCCAATAGATTTTTTTTGGTTTGGTCGGATTTTCGAAACGGGTTGTATAGAGCGGTTCTTGGGGGGTTCGCGGGTTTCGGGTTAGAGGCTTAGAGGAGGAATCCGGAAATGTCTTGAGGATGCTGCAGCTAGTTTAAGGTGTCCGAAGACAGGCCCTAACTATCAAAGCCCCACCTTTAAAGGATGGACCATAACTGTCAAGCCAAAATGGAAATCATGGGCCTGCCAGCAGCCAACAAATGCCGCACAGCACAACTGCGATCCGTGACACGCTGTGATGCATCTGTTCACTGGACACAGTCCTGACCGGTGTATTTCTGCACGTTCCTCAGACGCAGCTTTCCTGTCAAAGGTTTCTTTGAGTGCTGCATGTAGATCCGGAGCCCAACACGCCTACACCCTAGCCCTACGCCTCTCTGCCCGAATTTCGCGGTTCTTTTGCGGGCGTCTGCGAGCCCCAAATGACAGGTCCCCAGTTTGTATCCCCGACCGCCGAAACACCTCCTACCATTCATTCCCTAACCCATCCCGAAACCCCCCAAAAGCCTTGTACCCCAAGCGCTCGACATCCGACGGACCCTTCAGATGCATGGCTGTCTCGGTTGTTGGGTCTGCTTGCTCGTCCTCTGCTTTCCTGGGGATGCGGGGCCCGCGACGCTGCGCTTGCACCTTCTCGGGGGCACCCGTGCGCGATGCAACGACGGCTGCTCGGTTGAGGGTGGGCATGCGAGGGTTGTCACTCAGGCTGCCCGGCTTTTAGGGTTGATGCACTAGCTTGAAGTTCCGAGTTGGTTCTCAGAGGTTCATCGTGGAGACCCTGCCTTCTGGAGCCATTCGATGCAGGATGAAAACCCTCGCCGAAAAACCACCGAAACCTCAAGACTCAAGACCTGAACCCCAAATCCCACAAAAAAGACAAAGACTTTTGGATGTGTCTTTTCTCAGCTTTCCGAAACCCCCCCTAAACCCTAACCCTAAACCCCAAGGTAAGTCCGAGAGTGAGTGCTGAAACCCCTATTTAAGGTTCAGGGTTTTGGGTTTAGAGTTTAGGGAATTTCTCCCCCCCCTCAAAAAATAACAAAGAAAGCGGTCAGCTTCCCTCAAAGACCCCGAGGCTCCCAGCCGGGATTCTACCTCCGAGAGGGTCGCTCCGGCGTGCTGCTGGTCTGGCTCGAGGGAGGAGGCTTTGGCGGCCCAATTTAGGCATCGAAGGATCAGCAATACTGTTCAGCAAAGCATACCGCAGAATCCTGTCGAATGATCAAGGCTCCCGTAATCCAAAAAAGGTTGTAGTCCGTTGCTCAAGAATGCAACATCGGCAAGATTTACAGTGGGTTGTGATGAGGCCTTACAAGGTCGTTACGTGGGGGCGTGCTTATATTGCGCTTCCGCTCGGGTTGGAGAGCCGCCTGAAGAAATATCAGATGGTACAGGTGTCTCTGAATGGTTGTGCAGCTTTCTGAATAGGCACACGGTGTCATCAGGGTCATGTGATATGTGTTTTCTTTCAGGCTTCTATGGGTTGTACCAATCATAAACACATCATCTTTGTTTGTTCGCGTGGAGGTTTCATGGGCTTCTATCAGGGCTGAAGGTTTGGGTAGGTTGTCGGCTCTTGTTGAGGGTGGGTCGGTTGAGCTCTTGCAGGCTCAGGGCTTTGGCGTCGTGAGGTTGTTTTAAGGTTTCGTGGCTCAAGCTTCCGCAGGGTCTGGCAATTTAGGGTTTTCGGATCATGCCGAGCGCCAGTGATTGTTGCTTGGTGTTTGTAGCTTCCATGTTTGGCTAGCTGTCAGCAGAAGGATAGGTTTCGCTTCAAAATCAACCCCGAGCACGGGTTTGTCTCTTTGCTGCCTATGGAATCCGTCTTTGAACCTCATTGTGCCGCCTTTGCGCGAGGTGACTGCGGCACGCAGGCAACATGTGACTCCCGGCCAGCAGCGCTCAAAGGCGTGGACACGAATGTAAGCCATCAGCTTTTGGAACACGTGGCCTGGTGCGTGTGGTGCGGGATATGAGTTTGGCTCATGCACATACACGATTTGGGCCTTAGACGGATTGAAAACTGCAGGCTATCCGGATTCGGGACTGCGCCCAAGTGACTTCGAGCCGTCGAAGTTTCCCAAGCCTGTATGAGCAGCCATAAACCCTAAACCCTAAAAACAAAGCACGAAGAGTTCAGCTTGGCTTCCGCGTCGTGGGCTCCAGCGCTTCGCGCGGGCCCGTCCGACTGCATCTCTTGCTTTCTTGGACCCCGATTTTGCGCCGAAGTGGCTGAAGTGCCTGGGGGTTGCACTTGGAAGGTTTAAAGATGAGAGTTAGAGCTTGTTGGAGAATAACAGAAGGAGTTTGCACCGCACAGGATGGGCATTTTGGGCGATGAGCTCAAGCCGCCGGTGCCGCCCAGGTTCATGGTGCTAATGGCTGACTGGTGCAACGTCTTTGCGGGTATCACCCTTATCATCTCCTTCTCGCTGATTGCTGGGGCCTTTACCTTCAAGTGGTTCGAGATGGCTGGCACGGTCCACACCGTCATGCAGGTGACCATGTGTCTTGAGGGTGTGCTGTGGGCTGTGGCTGCCGGGTTCTTGACCAAGATCAACATGATCGTCAATAATGCAGGGCTGGCTGTGGGGCAAACGATCATCTGCTTCGGCGGCATCTTCTTTGCGATATCCGGGCTCTACGACGGCGTCCCGGGAAAGATCATCAGCCTCCACTATGTGCTGGCACCCGACTCCAACGCACTCTTTGCGGATGCCTGCCCTTACTACGGCATCACCTGCTTCATGGTTGCCACCAGCATGGGCTTGCAGGGTGTTTGGCCTTTGCCCAGGAACAAGATCGTGAGCCCCTTCTGGGCCGTGGCCTGCTTCTTCATCGGCGCTTGGACCATCGGCGTGATCGGATTGTGGGGCCCGACCTTGATGGACGGCTTCGTGAGGTGGGGCTTCTTTGTCTCTTGCTAGCTCCCTTCAGCCACAAGCTCTGTTTGAGTAATTACTCTAAGCCCCACATACCCTGGAAATGAAGCTCCGGGCAGCTCGGAAAAGCTGCAACCGAAAGCGGTACGGGCAAAGCCCCGCACTCGGCACAAGCAAAAGACCCCCCAGGTACGAAGATTTCCAGGCCCCAACGGACCTCTACAAGCAGAGGACGCGCCCTGGCGCACGCAGCGGATTTCCCCGGCTTCCGGTTTGGTTTTGTTTTGAGGGCTGTAAGGGGTGTTGTGTTTGCTTTTCGGCTCCTGCTTGGGGGTTCAAGGCGTTCCGGGCATTGGGTGTCGGAGCTTCAGCTTCTCTTGGCGACTGCAAGACTGCGCGCCGCCAACTGAGGTTTGCGTGGGCCTGGATCCACGTTTTCCAAGTGATCGGCGCGATCTTCTTGACCGCGGGCGGCGTCATCTTCGGCCCTTCGGTTTGGGGTCTCCTTTAGATGCCTGAAGAATCGGAAACAGGGTAAGTCTACCCGAATTTTTGGGGTTCTTGAGGGGAGCCAAGGCCTCATGGACGGCATCTTCCCCTTCGGTGGGCCCAGCGAGGAGGAGAGCGACGAGGATTATGATAGCAGTGACGTCTGCGCTTAGCTTGCCTGCAGCTGCAAAGAAGTGCCCGAGGCGTATTTTCAACTTCAGTTAAGCTCTGCCCGGCTTAGGCGTCCGAAGGCACGCCTAAGTCCCGGCATGTGGGCTATCTGCTGGTGCCATAGTACTTTTCCCGAGAACATCCTGCATCAAAGCCTGCCTTGTTCCTTCCGCGTGCGGGCGCAAGCCTCAAGACCATTATGATGCATAATCTATCTAAGATGCCTGACAGAATTAGATCTCTATGGTACATAAAAAGAGCACCAGCAGAGCCCGGTTTTGTTTTCGACGGAAAGGAGCCCCAAACCCCTAGGCCCCTAGGCCCCTAAATGCTGAGCCAGCGCCACTCTCCGAACCGGAGTGAAGCTCGTGAAAAAGATGTATTACCATGCAAGGTGCTTGCAGTTTGGGTTTCGGAGTTTAGGGTTTAGGGTTTAGGCTTTCGGAGTTTAGGGTTTAGGGTTTAGGGTTTAGGAGCCAGATGCCACACCCAGCTCCGTGCTTCAGCAGCTGGTTTTGGGTGGAGATGGCTTGTGCTGTTTCACGCATGGGGTTGCTGTGTCCGTGGAGCCTAAACCCCGAGCCCTAATCTCCAAGTCGGTGAAGAAAGGCCCATGAGAAGGTGTCACGGCTTTCTTAGCATTCAAGGACTTCGTTGCAGCCCTTTGCAGGAAAACATCGTTGACATGAGGCCCTCGAACTCTCATCCTTCTTAGGACGAGAGAAGTTTGACAGCAAGAAGAAAACTCCAAGGACCGCCACAAAACAACAGATAAGATGACAGGCGCAAGGATAATGATCAGCACAACGATGACAGCAACAAATTGCAAGTGCAAGTCTGGGCCCTGGTGCCGTGTATTTCTCAAGAGTGCATCGCAGTTCCAACTTCCACACGTATAAGCAAACTCAGATCGCAAATGTTCAAAAGGTACCAAGAAATACAGTGTTAGGTAACATGACAGAAGCACTTCTTCAAACGGCAAGAACGATGATGAGCGGAGTGTATCACAGCTTTGTCTATGGGAAGGCTCAGCCCACTGGCCACAGCTGCGGCAGCTTGATGGGATCTTCTCGGATGCCGAGGCCCCGCGGTGAAGCCGCTGTTCGGTGCTTTCGGGGGGCCGGATTGAGAAACCTCTGAACTCGCCTACGCCCAATGGAACCCTGTCAACCCAGCGGACCCAGGAGTGTCCTGCCACTGAAGCATTGAGAGCGTCAAGCACAAAAAGCCCTAGAGGCTTCCACCGCAACCCTGAACCCCAAAGCCCCAGAAAAACAAAAGGCATGAGCCCCCTTTGAATGAGGATACCAACCCTTTCTTTGCGACGGCCACTCGCGTGTTCGTGCCTTACTGCAGCTCCCCGGACTTCGAAAGTCCACGGAGCGGTATGGCCTGGGGGGTGTAGGGTTTCGGGTTAGGGGTTAGCTTATGGGGTTTAGGGTTCAGGGGTTTGGGCGCAGGGCTAGGCAGAGCACATTCGCGACACTGCGATGGATTGAGCTTATATTGCGGTTGGACGGGGTTCTGCAGGATTCTTACGAGGTTGTTGTTTCTCTCAAATTGAAAGAGGATTTGAGAAGGGGAGCTTGTGTGTATCCGAAACCAACCCGAGTCTCTTCGAAACTTACTGGGGCCACGAGCCAGTTGCTTTCGTGGTCACAAGTACTGGTACTTGCAACTCTACTGCACGTCACAATCACCCCGCAACTCTTGGAGGCTGAAGATGGCTCAGCTGCCTGTGCCTGTCAGACAGCACACTCAGCTCACCTGTACCCCCTGAAATTTCCAAAGATAGGGGTCTGGCTGACTCTTCAAGCGCTGATCCGGACAAAGCCTTTGTATGCGTGCATACATACATATGTAGGTATGTATGTATGTATGTATGTATGTATGTATGTATATATATATATACACATGCATACACAGCTAGATACAGCTGTAGATGGATAGCTAGATAGATAGATCGATAGATAGAGCGGCATCTAGATACAGCCTTGGAAGCTGGCGGCTAGCACGTTCAGTAGATGTCTGCTTCTGCTGGGCTTCCAACCATTGCCAAAGGCTCTGACTCCTGGGTTGGCAACCGACGCTCGGCAGCCTGTACGAGGACGTAGAGAGAGAGACCCGTCCACCCCGTTACGAGCCCCTTCTGCACTGCCTTCTGGACCAGGTTGACTAGGTCTTCTACGTCCTCGGCTGGGGTGAGTGTGCATGCATCGCAACATGTTACAGCGAAAAGTGCAGAGCCAGAGAGAGGGATTTTCATCTTAAGGGGCCAACATTACGACATTCTGTCATGCCGATTGGTGGGGCGCTCCCGCCACAGACAGTGCAGGAAATATAGATGGTTCCACGAGCCTGCTAGGTTGCGTAAAGCGAGGCTCCGCAGAAGACGCAGGACAATCAAGTTTCGCCAATTTCGTGAAGCTGCAAGACAAGTGCATTTGGATATGGTTGCTCAAGCTTTGCCGGACCTTGTTGATCAGGCAATCTGTTGTGACGGGGACCGGTCAGGAGCATCCACGACTTCTTTTCACGAGCGGCACTCCCAGGCCTTCAACCACATCCTTGATCTCGATCTTCGGGGAGGGGGAGGGAGAGGGAAGGGAAAGGAGCCGGACAACGACCCATCAAACCATGACCAGTTGTTTAATGCCATTGTCCAGGTCCTGGGCAAGTATGGTAGGAGCAGCTGGGAGGAGAGGAAGAAGAGCCGAGCCAAATCTGAACAGAAACAGCAAAAGTCTTTCCTTGAAGCTTTGCAGCAGTCTCTGGACAGGTATCGGCGTAAACCTCATGACAGACTTCTGCAAAGCATCACGTCCATTGTGCAGGCGGCCCAAGCCGGCAAGCTTTCCATGGAATCACCACCCGCGGAGGCAGAGACTTCCTCTGCTGACAAGGGCAAAGGAAAGAACAAAGGCAAAGGCGCCAACGACAACATCGCGGACACCGCCGCACAGCAGAAAGACAAGAGCAAGGGCAAGGGCAAAAGCAAGGACACTTCGGCCACTACCACGCCTCCCTCTTCCGCTTCACCTTCGAGTGAACCCTGGGTTCAGGTGGTTAAGAAGAAGAAAGTCCTTTCTCTACAGCCTTCGTCATGGGGCCCTAAGGCGATTATGACGGATGACTCCCTCCGACAAGACCTTGAAAAGGGTCAAAAGCCGGAGGGTGTGGTGGCCCTATGCAGATCTGTCGATTTTGCCAACCAATGCCGCCAACTAGCGGTACTACATGGCATAGATTGCAGCTTCGCACTTCTTACTCGAGAAGATCCGGGAGGTTGCAAACATCACAACTTCACGGTATGTTCTGACAAGGGGGTACCTCGTCTTCAGCAACTTTACTTTCAGGCGTTGGTCAAGGACATCCCGGAGTTGCCCAAAAATCCAGTGACCCAGAGCACTCACAAGCCAACGGAGTTGCAGCTGCACGTCTTTCGCATCACGGTGCCGAGCATCTTCTTGGATAACGCGAGGTGGCTTCACATATGCACTTCGCCGCAGAAAGCGCTGCATGCCTTGATTGACCCTTTGGAGCTTCACAGCAGCTACGGTTGGAAGAAAACCACGGTGGGTACGGCGGAGAAGCAAATCACACTCTTGGAAGGTTACATCAAGGTGACGGACATTGGGGCCAAGCAGTTGCAGCAGCACAATGGTAAAGACGCCATATTCGGCAGGCCTTTGGCACAAGGTACCGCAGAGTATTGCAAGCAGCCCATTCAGTGGATCACAAAGGAGCCCGACGATAACTACATGGTCTATTTCACCAAGTGCAAGAACGAGGCCTTTTCGTCAAAGCTCCCCCTTGCGTTCAGAATGGGAGGCGGCTCCTGTTTGGGTCTCCGACATACTGGGACTACTAGGCCGCCAAACATCTCGGTGGCTTGGAGGGTGCAGGGCGCGCCTTCGTGGTTCAGGTCCATTGAGTTGCAAGAGGCGCTCTCGGGTGCCGGTTGGACTGAAATTCAGGTCCTGTATCCCCCTCGGGGCAAACAGCCATGGTTGATCAAGGCCAAGCCCCCACCCAACTCGGAGGGCGAGATTCTGGGAGTGGCTACCGGTGACTTCACGCTCTACTTGTCCAGAGTCCCTCCTCGCGCTCCGCATGTGGTGGGAATCAAGCCTGTTCACATCACCCGCAAAGCTCAACCAGCCCACGAGGTCAATCTCAACACGGAGGCCGAGGACATGGAGACTGAACTCGAGGATCCCCCTTCGGCGGACGCCAACATGACCGGAGAGGCAGCCAAGGATCCTGCTAAGAAGCGGGACCCGCCGGAGAAACAAAGCCCTCTCAAGAAGAAGCATAAAGAATCTGCCCCAAACTTCTTGCAAGGCTACGAACTCAAAGATTGTGGCGGTGATGGTGCATGCGGATACAACTCGTTGGCCTTTGCTTATTGGTTGTCCAACAATGCCGACAAACCTCACCCGTCCAACGAGGAGATCAAAACGATGGGCCGGACTTTGAGGCAGCAGATTCATCAACACATTTGCAAACACCAGGGGAAATATTCTGCCACTTTCGCGACGGACGCAAGGTGGACCAAAGAGACGGAAGGCGGAGAGGTTCCCACTACCTTTGACTCTTGGCTCCTTGCTCTTTTACGCCCACAACGTTGGATATGTCAAGCTACCCTTCAGGCTGCGGCCAACAGGTTGGGAGTCCACATAACGGTCCTCATCAACAATCAGAATGATACTCGAGCCGTGCACATTCCTTGCCAACAGCTCAACTTTGCCACTACGGTCGTCATCTACCTCAAGGACAAACATTATCAGGCTGTGCTCCCCACGCGGAAGGCATGGCCTCTTGAGTGGACAAGTTTGGCGGAAAAGCTTGGGGAAATCCCTCGGGGCGGAGGCCCGCATGCCACTCCGGTTAAGGCTAGCGGCTCCACGGATTGGTTACCGTCGGGGACCCCCTCTTCTTCTTCACGACGGGCGCCTTCGACTCCTCCTACCTGGATGCCCGCTTCTACGCCCCGTAAATCCCCCGCTCCTATGGCGCCGCCCTTGACTACTCCGAGAAGACCTCCCGCTTCGCAGGTGCCGTCACGGACTTCTTCGAGCAAAAAGCGCAGTGCAGCATGGCTCCCGGATGCTACCCCGAGGGGCACTCCATGCACTTCTACTTCTTCTTCCTCCAAGAAATCTTCGGCAAAAGAGGCCAAGGCTGCATCACCGAGGATTGAGCAGCCCGCTGCGACGCGAAAATGCTCTGAAACAAAGCTTCGGGGGACCAGTACGGTCCATCAGCCTGCCACGCAACAAAAAGACGGCACATGGACTTGGCCTTGCCCTCATTGCGATGTGGTTTTGAGGGGCAAAAGCAGCCGTAACTTGTCGGACAGGCGTACTTCGCACATGTTGTTTCGCCACAGGGACATTCCCTTTGAAGACCGGGGCACCAGAATCAATCGCACCGAGATCGTTGAAGCCAGCTTTGATGTTCCAGAAGGAGAGCGTGACTGGGAGTGCCCCTTTTGTCACAAGTACCTTCCGCAGTTTGGCAACTACCACCAGAAGCAAAAGAACGTTCGCCACCACTACGACACGAAACACCCGCGCAGGAATACATCTCCTGGGGCCATACAGAAGGCTTTGGCCAAGAGCGTCAAAAAGGACCCCAGCAGATTCCCGAAGAAAAAGAGTGGCTACATGCAGGCCGCAGCCAAATGCAGGGCCAAGGAGCGAGACCTTGGCCTAAACGGCCACAAGCTCATCGCCTTTCAGCCGGTGTGGAGCGAGTGGCCTCGGCCGAAAAAGGGGAAACCCCAAAAAGGCCAGCTTTTCACTTGCCAAAAGTGCTGGGGCATCGCTAACTACAACAAGCACATGTGGAAGCCTTGCACGGGTTCGCGCGGCGAGGCGAGCAGACAAGCAGTGAACCGGTGGGCTGGCATTTGTGCCGGGCCATCAGGCGACAACGTTTCCACGCTGTTGGCCTGCTGGGGCACCACCAAGGCGGAGGCTGACATGTACTTCAACCACTTAGTGGAGGAGGGAGTGGAGCCGAATCCCGGACCAGAGACGCCTGGCGGCGCTGATGATGATGACGATGGCGGCTCCGACGATGATGACCCGGACCCGGGTGATCCTTCCTCTACGGCTTCGCATGAGCAGTCTGACCAGACTCAGTCTTCTACGGCACGCTCTTCCGTGAGAGTTTCTTGCGTGAACGTTCGGGACGGCCCGGGGCTTTGGAGACTTGTCAAGATCCTGGAATGTGACTCTAGTTTTACTGACGTCATTTGCATTCAGGAGTCTTGTATCCATGCCGAGGAGTACAACACGGTTGCAAACAAGTTTTCTGCCATGGGCTTCAAGGCTTACTGGGCCGAGGGTTCTCCTGGTAAGAAGGCCACCGGTGGTTGTATCACGGTGGTAAGGTCTACTATCCCGCATCGGGTCGTGGAGATTTTCTCTGGCGGCCCACACCAGCACATCTGTATCGAGTTCAAGTCTTCGTGGATGGTTTGCAATAGTTACATTCCGCCCCGCCAGCACCTTCGTTACATCGCACATCAAGCTTTTACTGAGATTTTGCACAAGATAAAGTTGTCCGCAGGTGGCAGGCCTTGGATTGCCCTTGGTGATTACAATGCCCTGCCCCAGGAAATGGAGGCGGTTTTCAGCCCTCATGGTGGCACTTTATTCTATCAGCAGTGCAGATTTCAGAGCAGCAGATATATCGATCATATTTGGTCTAATGAGCACAATTTTCTCGCAGAGGGCAAGGTCCTTCCCTACAAGGTCAGCGATCATAAGTGGTTCTCTACTAGCCTGCCTCTTAGGTGGGACGCTGAGTCACACCGCTGCGTTCGCCGCAGGGGCCACGTTTGGTCCTCTCCGCCCGGGGTGCCTTTTGCTACTTGGAAGGAGCATCTTGCAGTCACGTGGGAGCAGTGCGACAGGTCTTTTCTTCTTGAAAGCTTCGCTGCTGCAGAAGCTAACCCGAGCCAAGCCACTGTTGACATGGTCTGGCAGGAAAGGAATTCCTATCTGCACAATTTTTTCTCCGTTGCCACGAGTTCGTTCTCTCAGTCCTTGCAGGGCTCCTCTAGGACTGGTCTCGCAGCTTGGAGCAAGAAAGTTGAACAGGCGGGTTCTAAACCCTCCAAACCTCACTTGCAGTGGATTCCAAAGCTTGTGCGGCGCGAGAGCGGGAATATGGCCTGCCGCAAGCGTTGCAACTGGTTGTCTAGAGCAGAGCGCGTGTTGGAGCTCATGAACAAGAGCTCCCGCTCGCACAATCAAGACACAGAGCTGCAAAGATTAATGTGCAGAATACGCCGCCGCATGCCTTCGACTCATGAGTTTCCTGTTTTCGTTCGGCAGCTTGCGGAGGAGATCAAGCAGACGCAGAAGCAACAAGCACAGGAGGAGCGTGAAACTAAGGATCTCTTCATTCAGCGCTGGCGCCATTCCATGCAGTACAGCGTGCGTGAGCGATGTAAGTGGCTTCGTAAGAGCAAGCAGTGCCGTCCTTATGTGCTTCATGGGGACCGGCAGCTCGACAAAGACCAAGACATCCTCAATGCCATCTGCGAGCACTGGCAGGCCACGTGGCGAGCCTGCAAGCATGCTCCTGTTCAGCCCAAGATTCAGGTGGTGCTCAACAACCTTCCAGAGCAGGTGCCGCTCTCAGGGCGGCCAGATCTTGAAGACTTCAGCACTGCTTTGAAGGAGCTTGGCGGGTCTAGTGGCCCAGACGACTGGCAACTTGAGGAGTTGCGCTGTCTTCCTCCAGGTGCCATCCCGCTCTTCTCTCGCTTGACTTGCACTTGGGAGGCTTCGGGGTGCACGCCTGGAACTTTGAAGTACAGTCGCCAAGTCAACTTGGCAAAGCCGCACAAAATCGTCAATGGATGCACTAAAAGCTCAGATCTTCGCCCAATCAATGTGTACTCGCTTTGGTACCGTTGGTGGAGTGGGTCATGGGCCAAAAGCAAGCTTCTTCGGAGCTGGAGGCAGCGGGTTTTTCCGGCTGAAATCACGGGTGGCTTAAACAGCCCGGGCTCAGAACATTTAGCCGCCAAGCTTCAGGATGCCCTGGTTCAGCATGGCTACTTGGCCACCCTGGATTACTCCCTGGCCTTCGATCATGTCGTTCCGGCCGCGGTCTCTCTGGGCATGGAGCGCTTAGGCCTTCCAAAGGCCTTCTCCTCTGTTTTGCTTGATCAATGGTCACACCAAAAGCGCATCCTTCAATGGAACTGTAGCACTTTTTCCAGACTGCTATGTGCTGACATGTCGGTGCCGCAGGGTGACGCCATGTCCCCCCTTGCTCTTAACATTTTGATGTTTGCGGGCTTCAACTATGTTAAGAGACACTGCGCGGCTTCTCCCACTCAGAGGCTCCACGTTGTCTACATGGACGACAGGTCTTGGACTTCTTCTTCGGCTCGTTTGCTCCTGAGCACGTTGCGCACTTGGCACAGTTTCAGTGCGCGGGCTGGCCTACGGGAGAATGAGACCAAGACTCAGATCACTTATGCCAACCCCGACAGAAAGCAAGACTTGCTGATTGAGATCGGCGAGGATGAGACGCTCCTCAAGGCCCTGACTCCCTCGGCGGTCGTCTTGGGTTGTGGTACTTCCTGCGAGGAGCAACGCCAGCCCAATGACAAGGAGCTCCAGCGCATTCAAGATGCTCAGCACACCTGCAAGCGGATACGGCTGCTTCCTTTGGCACATACGGAGAAGCTGTTCACAGCTCGGCTCACTGCGGTGAGTAAGGCTGCCTTCGGCTGGGTCGCTGCGACTCCTTCTGAGGCTTTGTCCAAGGCTTTTGACACCGCTGTGCGTGCGACAAGTGATGCTTTTCGTGATGGCTCAAAGCATTTGCACAACGTTCTCCTCGGGGCCACCAGATGTTTAAGCCCCGTGGTTGGGGTGAAGCAGGTGCTTCTCTGGTGCAAGAGTTTGGCACAAGAGCAATGGGACGACACCCGTCGTCGCGTGAGCACACTGCAGCGTCTCGCTCAGGACTTCCTTCATCAGGTCGGCTGGGTGTTCACCCGTGGCAAATGGGCACACAGGGCTCTTGGCTTTTTCTGGAAGACTCAAGATGGTTCCAGTAAGGCCGGCCGGGACAAAATCGCTCACATGGTGCGCGAGTCGTGGAGGCACTTGTTCTGGGTCCGATTCACTACTTCGGCCAGACGTGACGCCATTCCTTTCAGGCGCACTGCATATGACGCAAAAAGGATCGGCCTCGTCAGAGAGCTCTTACACCACACTGATGGCGCGGCAGCGGCTCTGATTACTGGGTCCTTCACTTCTCCCGCGGCCTTTGCGAAGCGACAGGATGTCCCTGCTCACTTCGCTCGCTGCCCGATGTGCAATCATGATCAAGCTGACCAAAGGCATTTGTTCTGGTCCTGTGCTCTTCGCAGGACCACAGGCAGACCTGCAGATGCCTTGCAAGCTCGTTTCGGCTGGCCTCGTTCCAGGAAGGACACCAAGGCCCTTGAGGGCATGGCTCTCACTGTGGAGGCAGTCTGGAGTGCACGGCACGCTGTCCGTGGGTTGTGGACTACCCAGGTCTACAGACCCAAGGGCTTCAAGCTTAAAGCACGTTGGCTCAAGCGCAGTTCAGATAAGCACAAATCTGTGAAGCACAAAGCGGCCAGCCGGTCCCGCGGCGGCCCTTGACTGAGCACATTTCCGGTGCGGCTGGGCAGATACCTACCGCATCGTCACCAACCGAATCACTCATCCACCCCGTTACGACAATGACGATGGTGGAGGTGGTCCTGCATTTGCTCCTGCTGCTGCTGGTGAATTAGTTCTTGTCATTCGCGTAGTTCACAGCTGCTCTTACCACGCACCTGGCAGATGTTGCTTGAACTGCGGGTCTATGCAGTTTGGGGTGCAGAGTCATGTTTTTTTTTGAGATTCAGGAGGAAAGAGGTAAGACCCAGGCAGTTTCGCTCCAAGATTTTTTAATTCAAAGAAGGGACGAGTGACGAGCATCGAAGAATGCTATCGAGAGCATTTTCCCTCGTCATGCACTGGTGGTGTCGCAATCGATCTGCTAAAATGCCTAGCCCCAGCGCCGTCCAGTAAAGCCAAGGGGAAGCACCAGCTGCCGGCTACTTTTTCCAGGGCGAGCGCATCATCTCGGCCGTCCTTGAAGAGCTCAGGACCGGCGGGGGGGGGGGGGGGGTCCCGGTCCCCCGGCGTAGGC